ATATGTATACACACATATGTATATATACTTTTTAAGTCATGTATCATGCATAGGAATGTTGAAGCCTGCAAGGCTCTGGTTTATTTTTATTTTCAATTTTAAGACATTTTATTTATTTATTTTTTAAAATTTATTTTTATTATGAACTCATGCTGAAAACTCAGTATAATAACTTACACCACTGTGTACTGTATTTAAGCATGAACGATATTTCCTCCATGATTAAAGCATGTTTTAATAGTGTCAACAAAAAGCCTCTTCTGAAAGGTGTATACACAAAGCTTTAAACGCTGTTGTTTGTCGCAGTGGGAATGGTTTGTTTTCCCAACCTTAAGGTCGGTGTTTCAATCCCCTCGCTGTGCATTTCACTTGTGTACTTGGGCGAGGCGAGGTACTTTATCTGCATTGCTTCTCTCCACGCAGGAGTATAAGTGGGTACCTGGTGGTGTTAAATGCCAAAATGCGCTGATGTAGCTGCTGCAACTTTATGGAATACTCCACCAGGGAGCTTGAATTTATGTCCTATAGGCATTTAATCCAATGACCGGGGGTATTAATGTGAAGCGCTTAGAGGCCTTGTTGGCGTTAAGCGCTATATAAATCTAACATATTATTATTAGAGGTAGCCTTAATATAATGCGCGGACCGGTGAGCAGTCGCACTTGTTATTCATTGCCTTTAAATTAATTGACCATACAGAGTTCTGTGTACTTTCAATTCAGATTTATAAATGTGAAGTTGAGAAAGATGGAGTAGTTTGTGATCCTCTCAAGGCCATCCATACTGTACGCAATATAACAGCTTATGAGCTCTGTTATTATTTTTGGGATGTAGGTGTACGGTTGGATTGGGACAGTAAGTAAACAAAATTCTCTATTTTGATAAATAAATGAACTCTTTAAAACTGCGCATCTTAAGTGTGTTTATAAAAATACAATAATACTAATATTCTGAAAGAAAAGTTTACTGTTGTGTCTAAAGGTTACTGACATCATAGATCAAGGAACTTTAGCTAAAGAAGACCAGTTGGCCTTATGATGCACCCAGCCTGCATTAGATGAGAAATATTGTGACATAAATATATAAGTGTAGTCTATCATATACTACTTAACTTTCAAAGACAGGTTTCCCTCCAATTAAGTACCACTTTTGCGACCGGGATTTTCATGGTCTTTAGCATCTTTGGTCTCTAATAAGAATATTAAAAATAAAACACATTTGTTAATTTAGGACCACAGAAAAGTGGTCTTTTATTGGAGGGATGTTCAAATAGAGGAAGACCTGTATAATAAAGTGTAGTATTTAAAGCAAAATGAAAAGAAAAGACAATTATTTATCAAAATAATTTAAAATGTGGCTTAATTTTAAAAACAATGAAAAAACAAATATCAATTTTCAAAATGAAAGATTGCTCTATATAATGAAGAATATATTTTACATAAAATTTTCTATCATGAAATTTTAAAATGTTATTTATTTTCATTGTATGTAGCAACTTTGGACACGAGTAAAACACTCGAGGTTTTGTCACCGGATACAGTAATTTCACACCAATTTATGAGAAGAGTTTGGCCAGCAACACAACGGGATACCTGCTTTACTTCTCATCTTCGTAAAGTAAATCTCAAAAGCCAGTCCCCGGATGAAAAAGGATCATACATTGTTGTCAATTTCTCCATTGAACATCCTGAGGTAAATATTTTTAAACAGTCGTTTCATTAATTTCTGTTTCTTCTTTGCTTAATAATTTTATATCTGTGTAAATGCACGAAGTGATATATTGTAATTTTTTTTATAGGTGATTGTGATCCTCACACCATGCAGAAGTTCTCGTACACTTATATGAAAAAAAATAAAAATTAATAGAGTGAACAACAATTACTGGCACTAACAATACAGTACTACTGCAACACTGAAATTGGATTAGCAACATTATCTACAGTACCATTTTCTATACATGCCACTGTGAATTTAACTATACTGTGAGACATCCATTTCACATACATTCTTTTTACATACATGCCAGAATGAATCCTCCATTTTTGGTTTCTATTAACATTAGGATAGTATAATACATACTCCAAGTATTGAAATGTATTATACTATCTTATCTGAGATTAATCAGTGGACCTTTCGGTTTTTAATTAACAATAGACAATAGCATTCGACAGGATGTCAAATGAAACCTGCCATGGTGCGCATGTATGTTAGTATGTTACACTATACCTGTAAAGTTTTGTAAACAGGTAAACATGACTTTCCAGAAATCTGTTCATTTTTGCATTTTTTGCAAGGACAGAAAATACCCACTACCTCTGAAAAACTACAAACCGTATAGTAAGACAATGGAATGTTTGGTGTTGCCTAGCTGTCTAAAATGTGATGTATGCGACTTTAGGGACTATCATGGCATGTCCTTATCTCTGCAGCCTAGCCAAAATGGTAGTAGTACAGTCTGTACTGACAAAAAACTTAGTCCAGTCAAAAATCACCTTCACCATGGTATAATTACTCCTACCTCAGTGAAATTGAAAGTGTAGGTCCTTTAAATATTTACATACTTGATGTTGCATCAGAAAAAGGTGGGATTTAATGAAAAAAGCAGCTTTTATAACCAGTTTTTAGCCGCTTATCACTGTTGATTGTTTACCTTGAGAAGTGACGTCACAAGGCTGGAATAGTGATACGCTATTCCTGTCTCTACAAAACCTATTAGTTAAATGATACGTTCATTAATAATTAACAGTATCACAATACATTTTCATACATTATAGTTACTTAAATAAGAAGATATATTTTTAATTATACAAATCTCTGAAAAACTAAAGAATAGCTATAAATACGTGCAAGTTTAAAAAATAATGAATGCCTTCCATATAAAATATATTACGCCCTCAATCAGATCAAAATTGTTTTCAGATTTATTGATCGTCTTGTGATGTTTGTTGTTTGTGTAATTTTTTTGTTTATATGCTGGTATGTACAGTTTATATCAATAAAAGAATTGATATAAAAATAAAATGTATGCTTTGAAATAAAAAAATCAATTTTGACTATTAACAAGAGTAGCGACTGTACCCAGGCGACGCGGAAGATTGTACTGCACATGGAGATCATGGTGAAGGTGATTTTTGACTGAACTATTCAATTTGAAATGTATTCGTCATAAAAACTTTTGGAAGTCTCATTTAACTGTGATGATTTGGTTGATAATTTTTTAAGAAATGATTGGTATTGCATATAATTTGTTGTTTACATTGAGGAGAAAAAATAACATCTCCAGGCCCGTATTTAGGGGGGGTTCGTCCGAACCACCCCGCGAGAGATGGAGTTCCGTGAAAATTAGGAAGATTTTTTCATTGCCGTTTTATTCTGTAGGCCTACAAAACCGAGCTAAAACAAAAATAGTACATACATGTAGTTAGGGATCCCAGGCCAACTATTTAAAATAAATCTTGGAGAATTTGATTGAGTTTACTAATAAAAGTTACTATGTTTGCATCAATGCATCCCCGTAGAATGACTCTGAGGAGCCTGGTAGACGATTGACTCTATTATACATCTACTAACTGGTTTACCAGCTGTATTGTCTGGTTGAATGTAGAACATAGACCTAATGTATTATTTTATGTTAACAACCAAACAGTAGGGGCCTACTTGCTCATTAAAGCTAATGTATGCTTTAATACATGTTGTTTTTTCTTATTTTTAATCTGAATGAATGTACAGTACTACTTACAGTTGAACCTCATAACAACATACCTCCTTGGGACCATAGAAATTGATTCACTATATATCCATATAGCACATGTATGTCATAACCAGGGTAAAAAGCCATTGATTGTAATCATTGGAACTTAAAGTACAGTACTTAATATATATCACTGTTTTACACTGGAAAGGTATGGACCTATTATAACAAGGTTTGGATGTAAATGTATAGTTAACGTTATTCGCTTTTTGGATGCACATTATTTTAATTAATCAAAATAGATATTTATATACTAGTGTTATGAATTTCAATTAAGAAAAGTTGAAAGAAATGACGTGGTGGACAATGAAAGTTAAAAATTTACTGTTCATATGGTTTAGTTATGTTTGGAATAATCGAAATACTTTTATTCACGAATTCAATTAAGAGCAACTGATATAGAAACACAAAAATGTTATGAAATAATGAGATCACAATCAAAAGTATTATTGTTTATTTAAACAAAGTATTACAACAGATAATCATCTTTTAAATATCCACAATTTAAAATATAATAATGTTAACTAAGCTAAGGCTGGGCACTCTATAACTTGAAATTGAAACTGGTCATTGGAGCAATACTCCACAACAAAACTGTATTTGTAAAATGTGCAACAATGATTTAGTGGAAGACGGGTTTCATTTCAACATTAGAAAGAAGTTTATTCCGCAATATTATTTCAATTATCCATCAATAAAGAAGTTGTCTTTTTCAATGTCTAATATTAAGTTAACAATTATTCAACTGGCACAATATACTCATCTTGCTTTTAAGAAACGAACACTTTGCGTGAGACTTTTTTATACCTTGTTTCGCGAACTTTTTTTGGAAAATCTTGCTGTAGTAAATTTACGTGTTACGGACGATCCGCACATAAGACAAACATAATTTTAAAAACCTAAAATTTGTATGTCGTGTGTATAAGACGACCCCTTTTTTTTTATCGTAATTTGCTATTCAATAGGTCTCGTCTTAGACGCAAGTATATACGGTATTAAAATATTCCACTTTCTACATTTTTTCTGCATTGAAAAATATTTATCAAAATGTTCAATTTTATAAGAAAATACTGTAAGATTAATTCACTGATGCTTTTACTTTATAATAAATGGAAGTAAAATGCTTGAAATAGACATCATAATAGGAAGTTGTGAGTACTGCAAGTTGCCTAGTAACAGTGAATCTGTGAAAAACGTTCTCACAAGTAGGTTCCCATGATTATTAAAAACACTGCTGCTAGAAATAGCCGAGAATTATTATAGCCGACAAGCTTGTTCGGTGCAAATACCTCATTGGTACAAACATGTGCGATTGCTTTAGTGATAATTGAGTTGTTTGCCTGTTATTTTAGCAAAGCGTTGCTTTCTTTGTATGATATTTTATTTTTTATTGCGTGTCATTTTAAATTCTTTTGATCATTTTGACATTTTGCCTTGTCTTGTTTTTAGTGTCTTGTGCATGTTTTTAGTAGGCCTACTGAAAGGGAGGAAATTTCTATTTTGGTTCTCCACGATGAGTGACCATGTTTTTGTAAACAGGGAGGCAATTGGTGCAGCGGTTGCTGCTCAGGTTTTCAACCTCGTGGTTGGGAGTTCGAGCTTCACGCTGTCCACTTCCGGCCAGGCTTAGATACCTCAGCTTGCATTGTGGATGGGCTGTAAAAAAATGGTTCACACTATGTTCCAGCCTTAGATGCAAATCGGCTACGGCCCCTGGCATTGTTTCGGGCATATAAGATCAGGCCCACCCTTTGCAGGGCCTTGCTATAAGGCTTAACCTTTGTCCTGAATCCTTTAATAACTATAGTCAAAAGTCTGTTTTAGGCACCTTTTGGAACCAAAGGTGTTTATAAACTAAAAATTTTGTAAAAACATAGAGAAGTGAATTACACAGAGAACTTTTGAACTGATCCTCAAGGGTATATAACTGAATTGAATGAAAGGATAAAATGATACAGAAGTGTTTTCATGGCACTGGGAATTTGTTTTCTTTTGTGAGTTTGGGGTCCCAATCCTCAGTGGATTTCACTTGTGTCACAAAACCATTCAGTCTCTCAGGAATTAATCATGGTTTTTATATTTGACTTAGATGTAGGATGATGCTTTCTGTTTTTACAAATTTTTCTGTAAAATTAAAGCAAGGTAACATCATGGAATAGTTGGGTATCTGTTGTTAATATGAACTATACAATTATAAAAAATTTTATACAAATTGCATATATTTTTTTTTACATTGCAGTACATATATTTTATTCATTTTTCTACTTTAAGTGTTGAACCCTAGTGTACATAAAGTATTTTTAATGTTTTATAGTCGATGGCCTCATGATTGTCTGCTACTGTAATTAGGCTGTTTTTAGTTACCCTCAATAAAGAAAGTTTAAAAAAATTAACATGTTAATATTACTAGTAATAATACTAGTTAAACTAAATGTTATTAATGATCATCTATATATTTATTTTGCTTTCTTCTTTTGTATTCATACCACTGCTTATTTTATTAGGTACTGGTTCTGTTGAGGTAAAGCCGATCTCCTAAGAACTCCAAAAGTGTAGGGGTAGAAATAGAGTTGAATTACAGTATAGGAAAACTCTGCTACCACAGTTATTCAATACTAAACAAATGTTTCTTAAGAAAAAAAAATTATTTTCAGCATTTTCTCTTTGCGAACTTCATTCCACCACTAATGTCAGGAGGAGCCTGAAGACATTCATACTACCAAACACAGAAATTTCTGTTCTAAAAAGCTAATTTTTGCCTTTCCTCTTTTGCCAGGCTCACAGTAGATGTATCCGTGCCACCATTAATGTTAGTATGCTCTGCCAGACATTCATTGACCCTCCAACAGATGACCTTTCATCAGTTACAAGGGATCAACTCAGGTGCAAAATCATATATGTTGCTCATTGTAAGTTGCTGTTTAATTATTCTTCTTTGTAGTTGTTAGATTTAGCTGATTAACATATTTTTTTTTGCTTTATTTTCTATTTGATTTTATTGTTGATGATATTAATAATAATAATCAAAATAATAATGATAATAATAATTATAATTATTTATTATTATTATCATTATCATTATCATTATTATTATCATTATCATTATTATTATTATTATTATTATTATTATTATTATTATTATCATCATCATCATTATAATTTTTTTATAATAAATGTAGAAAATCATATAATTTCAAAGCAATTAACGACAAAGACCTTATTAGTCTGTTTGAAAACATTCCTTTTGACATTATTGTTCCCAGTTATGATGTTAATGAAAGTTTAACTCTATTTTATGACTGTCTCTTATACACATCTAGATGTGTATAAGAGACAGGTTATATAGGAACTGGCTATATATGAACGTGATGGAGAAGTGATCACTCCCAAAGATTGGTTGAGCTTTCTGTGCGTCACTGTGAAGATTCGTGCCACGTAAATGGCAAGACTGCCAACATGCTGCCCTTTAAATGGCTAAATATGTTAGCTTTTATCGAGTCGTCTGTCTTGCCTAGGCCACTGTTATATTGAATAGAATTGTTTGGTAAATGAAGCTCTTGATCTTGAAGTATTCTTTGGAGTTAACCAGCTGTGTAATTTATATACATACCTGTTGTGTGTTTGAGAAAGTTTAACAACCATGTACTTAATTTAAACGGCTTTTGATGCCACAGTGGCTACCCTACTAGATTTTCTCCACCTTGGACAATGGTTAATTTTTGAATTATTGAATAGTTATTGACTTATTTGCAAATTGTTTTTTTGACCAGTTCTTGTGCGTTTTAATCTTGTCTGTTATACAACTCTCTAAACAATGTTCATCATGTCAGGTATAATTATTTGCAAAAAAAAAATCAAATAGTATACTACAGGATGGGGCCAAACTGAGTTGTTGTCAAGCCATTTTAAATGTTGCTTTTCTAATTATTATAAAGTTCACATTACTATTACTGTACCATTTATTCCAGCAGTCCAAGTACTATATTTCCATCCCACCAATTTGTTTTATCATTAAATGTTGTGCTTCCTTGATGTATTTTTCTAAAGCATTTGATTTAGTTCCGCATAATTTACTTATTCTTAAATTAAAACAATATGGCTTTTGCCCTAATCTTTTATCATGGTTTAAAGATTTTTTAGATGGTAGACAGCAACGAGTAGTCATTGATAGAGAGACGTCGGGTTGGCTTCCAGTCCAATCTGCTGTCCCCCAAGGTTCCATTTTAGGACCTCCTCTTTTTAATTTGTATGTGAATGACATCCCACTTTTATTCGAACATTCAAATTGTCTTATGTTTGCAGATGACTTGAAAATTTGTAAAACAATTAAATGTCTTGAGGACGCCAAAAAGCTTCAGGGAGACCTAAATAAACTCTGCTCTTAGTTATAGGGTATGGTACTCAATCCACTTAAGTGTAATACCTTAACTATTACTTTAAAGAAAAATAAAATCAATTATATTTATTTAGTTGACGACAAACCGATTAATAAGGCGCTGCAACATCGTGATCTTGGAGTTATTTTAGATAGCTCCCTTACTTTTTCTTTTCATATAGACCATCTTCTTAGGAAATGCAATATGTTGCTTGGATTGATGTGGCGCAACTGTAAATATCTGGACCCACATTCTAAAGCATACCTGTACATTACACTTATTCAACCTAAATTAAATTTTTGTTCCATCATTTATAATTCTATCTCAAAAACTCAGGCTTTACGTATTGAACGCCTTCATTCCCGGTTTTTGCGCTACATCAGTCACAATCAGACTAATATTAATTTTCAATTAAATCACCCCAGTCCCGTAGAAATTTTAATGACCTTATATTTCTTTTTAAATGTTTGACTTCTATCTTTGATTGCGAATTAGTATCTAATTTTGCCCTTCGTGTTCCTGTCCGTATTTTAAGAAATAATGATGTTCTTTACGTCCCGTAGAAATTTTAATGACCTTATATTACTTTTTAAATGTTTGACTTCTATCTTTGATTGCGAATTAGTATCTAATTTTGCCCTTCGTGTTCCTGTCCGTATTTTAAGAAATAATGATGTTCTTTACGTTCCTTTAAGTAGAGGCAATATTTTAAAAAACGGGTTTATTAGTAGATTAAGTTCCTCCTATAACAAGTTAGTTCAGGACTATTCGTCTTTAGATTTATTTAACTCCAATCTGCACATTTTCCGTCGTAGCGTTTTAGGCATGATTAGTTTTTTTGATTGTGTTTCTGTTTCCGTCGTATCGTCCTTTGTTAACCATACTGTAAGTGGCGGATTTGTGTTCGCTGTTGTTTTGGTGAATGAATAAATAAAATAATCATCATCATCATTATTATCATCATTATTATCATTGTTATTATTATTATTATTATCATGATCATTATTATTATTGTTGTTGTTGTTGTTGTTGTTGTTGTTGTTGTTGTTGTTGTTGTTGTTGTTGTTGTTGTTGTTGTTGTTGTTGTTGTTGTTGTTGTTGTTGTTGTTGTTGTTGTTGTTGTTGTTGTTGTTGTTTATTATTATCATTATTATTATTATTATTATTAAGATAGGCTCCCAGCAGGAATGTGTGTCTACTGCTTAACATGTTTTTTTTTTCACTACTTTCAACTGATCCAACATTTTTTGGGGCTTCGTCACCCCCACCAGGACCAATTTCAAAAGATTCTAGGCGACGCCCGACATTGCACACTTTGCTCTTGACGGACACATCGGACCCCTGTCGGGCAAATCAAGGTGCCATCCCCCATAATTAGTAGGGCCTAGCATACTACTCTCTGTGGACGACCTCCCTAGTCTAGCTACGGTAGGGTGGCTACGAGTCAACGACGTACTGTACAACTGACCGGCGGGACAATGACAGATACCAGCATTAGGCTATACCTATACTGAAGTAATGTAAACTGAAAGTCTCATTAGCTCTACCTAGGCCTACAATTGTCAAATTTAGTGAAATCAAACATTTAGTCCTACCTACATAGAACTTACATTTGACATCGCAGAGCAAACATACTTTTTTTTGAATATTTAAAAACTGGAGGCAAAAGGTAGTAAAAAAGGTGACATAAAATGTTATTTATTATTAGTATTATTATTTTTATATGGTAACTTTCACTGAATTGCTTTTCTATTGATTTACTTTGATTTGAATTTGTTACAGCCAATCCTGGTGGCTGGGTTCCAGCATCTGTCTTGAGGACAGTTTATAAGCGTGAGTACCCTAAGTTCCTAAGAAGATTCTCATCATTTGTACAAGATAACACAAAGGATAAAGAAATTAAGTGGTGAATTACAAGTTGTAGGTAAGATATGAAAATATATCTTACTTTACCAAACAATCTTATTACTTGTTTATGATCTGCGGTTGATAATAATGAATGAACCATTGAGGCTAACAATTATAGAATGTATCATTTTGGAACATTGTAAACTATATAGAATTTGTGCATTGATTTAAGGGCAATCAATAATGTGTTGTGCCCTCTGTTACCAATCGTAATTAATAAAAAATTAGATTGGTACTTTAAAATCTTTCATTCATATTACAAATTCAAGAAGCATCACTTCCGAAATTGGCCATTAAAACATAATATCCTAACACAGAAATCTATTTTCTACCAAAATCAGACCATAGATGCACGTAAGATTAAATTACTGTAGGATGCATAATTTGAAGAACCAAGAGCGCGATACATGCATGCAGCATTGGAATCTGTCCCACCATTTACCCATAACCTGGTCTAGAAGGTGATCTGTTCTTCACTACTAGTTGTATGTGGTTGCTATATCACTACAGTATATTATATTATATTATGGTTCATTTTACAAATATTGTAGGCCTAGCTAGTCATCAATTAAAGCTCAAGGTAAAGGTAAATTGAGTTCACAGAATATCAAGCCCCATCAGTAGTGGTCAGCTAGCCAGGTTAGGCCCGGTTCCATTGTTCATAAAATCAGGCACTTTTAGTTTTTAAATCGGCCACACATTTTTGTTGGTATCGCATGTGGTATTGCTAGACATGAATTAGCTTTGCCCCAATACAAGTGTCACAGTTTGAAATGGTGCAATCCAGTTACAGTACGTGTGTTTGTTGCTTTTCGGGTGTGGACCATCAATAAACAATCAAATGTTTTTCTTTGAGTGGTACAGTATATAGAGCGTGGGACTCGTTATTAAGGTGAACTCAATTTTTTATTGATCAAAATTAATGTGCATTGTAAACTATGCCTGACTAAGCAGTGTAGGCCTAGTCCAGCACCTTTAAGGAAATGTTGGGAAATGTAATGGTCACTATCCAACTGATATAGTGATACACTCTGGGAAACTTACCAATATTTTATTAAGAATATCAAATTAGTGCTCTAGTTTCGCTGACATAGAAAAAAATGTTACTGTGAATGAGAGTGAGGCCATGGTTCTACGTTTCCACATTTTCAAGAATGAGTTTCACTAAAATTAAAATAAAAGCGGACATAAATACTTTTTTTGTGTGATTGTCTAGTTACCAAAATAAAAGGCTTTCTTGGATTAGGAAGCAGTGGCATGATGCCTGTGAGCTCTTGGGATTGGGGCAGCTACCCAGCACTGTAATGCAGTCTTGACGAAGTGCTCTCAGGAGCAAAGCTCCAGTTCCCCACAGGACCCTTTCTTACTAATACCCCATCAACTTGTCAAAAATTAGCATTCTTCTATCTTACACAAATTGCAGGCCCATTCTATTGCAGTCCAATAAAGGTAGACTCCAATGCTATGCAAATTAATCAATATAATTCTCAAGAGTTTTTATCTCACTATTTTAAGGGCAACTGAGTGTAATTTCTCATATTGTGGCCCAATGAACACATTTTGATAAAGGCCTACAACACCATAAAGAACAATGTTCGTTTCATTCTGATTGACCTTATATGATACCCTATTTCAGAGCAACATAATTTGGGGTATCGAATGACAGTAACGTACAATGAAATGAAGATTTATGCATAGGCCATACGTTATACGCAAATATTCTAATTAAAATGTGTGTGAAATATACAAGTTGATTATATTGTTGAAGTTGAATAGTCACTTTATTATTTGAAATTGTCTAATAACGAAATGCAGTCTTTCCAGTCTTAGCAATTATCTCTAGGGAGATTTCCTACCACTGGCCACTTTGTGAGCGAAAATACTTTGCTGATATGCAAAGGGCCCCAACATTTCTCACCCCGGGCATAACTGTCTCTTATACACATCTTTCGTAATTTTTGATCGAACTTTACTTGAGAATCGTATGCTTCGCTAACTTTGAAAGCCTTTTTTCATTGTTGTATTTTTCCTAGACTTATAGTATTATGCGACTTCATTTAATCATATCTCTCTTATTTCTAAATGTTTTTAAATAATTTAAACACCATTTTGAAGCTAAAATAATGATCAGATAATACATACATCTGATTTTTCATAAAGTTCAACTTTACTCTCATTTCCAAGGTGGCAGGTCTCATATGACTATTGGTTTAGTAGACAACCATATTCTAAGACAGGGCTAAGGTAGTTTTTATACACTTATAACAATTTCAAATGTCTGCAGCTAAAGCCCCCATGGGAAATGTCAAGCCCACCTATTGTTCAGAGCTCGTCAGGCAGTCGGACAAAAAAAAAAAAAAAAAAAAAAAGCCTAATGAAATTAAATGTGTGTTTGAGAGTATGAATTTTATCAACTTTATATTTAAAATTATTTTTCAAGTCTGAGTGCCATTTCCGTCAATACTTAAAAAAAAAAAATCTCATCTTCCAATCCTTTCCCCTGCTCTGTCAGAAAGCCTTCGGATGGCGATGTGCACCAATGTTATCCTTGTCTCACTCAGTCCCTACTGTTAGACAGCTTAGCCCCCCAACCCCCAGAAAATATATCTAACAGCTGCCACTGCCTACGACCCTGGGATAAGAAGGCAAGCATCTTAACCACTGAAGTTGTTCAACTGCACTCAGATTTCATGCATTATTTTTTTAAAAATCATATCCGACTGGTGAAAATTTAAGGGCAATTTTTTTTTTTTGCTTCATCAATAAACATCAGAAATAATGCTGCAAAATTGCAATTCATCACAATTTGTTTTATCATTGATAAAATACCCACTTTAGATATCTGAAAGAAAACCATTACCACAAATCATTTGCAATGTTTGAACACTGAAGCTTAGGTTTTAGGTCCTTATCAAAAAAGACCTTGTTCTACCAACCAAACCATGGGCGAGGGGTTACTGGGTTGACATGCCCGCGTACAACATACTGCCAACTGGTATTATCATACACACTGTACAACATACAATTTAATTAAACTTTTCTTTAGTGCCAAACACAGTAATAATTTATTTTGATATACTAATTTTTTTCATTGCATTTATCTGTTGTGTGCACCAAGTATAATAAGGCATTGTTAGCTGTCATTATATTTACTAGTCTCATTATTATAATACTGTATATTATTATAGTATCACCATTAGCTTATTATTAATGCTATTTTAATACTTATGCTTATTTTAAATTATCTCATATTTATAGTTTACACAATGGAACAATTTAAAGGAGTATGACTCTACAAATAGATGACAAACAGTGATTCCTTTAAATGTAACGTTCATGTACAACTACCGCTGGATAACATTGTCCAGATAAGGAGAGACTTTTTTTATTCCTTGTTTTGCATACTTATTTTTTTCAAGATCATCAGAGGAGGGCGGAATAAAATAAAAATAAAATTTTGTTTTCCTATTTAGCAAATAGCAAATCTATTCACTCTAAATTAATGCAGCATTAGATTAAAAATTGACTGGAAATGTCAGATTTGACCTATGACCTATGCTTTGCAGAAATTTCCATATCTCCAAACTACTGTCTTTAGAGAATTTATTTTGGTGTCAAATTAGTCGGATGCATATTTCTATTCACCGTAAATCAAGGTAATCAAATGTTGCATTAGAGCGAATAGAAACATGTATGTTCTGAACAATTTAAAACAAAAATCAAGTTTCTGTGACCACTGGTTACAAAGTTATTGAATGCTATAATTTTACCCCTAATTTGCTTATTTTAGCTAATTTGCATATGAACAGGACATATAATGGAGGTGCAATTTTCAGAATTTTATCTCCTTATTACATGCCTTCATTTAAAAAATTAAAATTTTAGTTTGCACATTGTTAACTGCAAATGCCAGATTTTATGTACATTTCTATATATTTGGTGGCCATTTTGAAAAACGTCTATAATTTGCATATAAGGCTCCAACGCAAATGACATCCAGACTGGGGATAACCAGATGGTGTCAATAAAGACATCTGGCATGGATGACTGCTTCTAATATTCCACTCATAAAGTGATTTCTAGGCCTCTCTTCAGATTTTTTTCCTAGACTAAAATGTTTGCCAAGAACATTCAGACACAGGAGAAAATAAAAATTCAATTTTATTGGTGAATGTAAAATAGGATGTTAAATCCTTCAATTGTATATAATTAGGAAGAAATATACATATCTTTGGAGATTTCAAGGCAGCGGAGGGTGTAATAAAGTTAAAGAAAAACATTTTTTCTGAAATTTCCACTTTTTCGTGGCGGCAGGTGTGCTAATTGGCCAAAAATAAAATTTTATTTTTATTTGAAATCATCGATATTTTTAATCGGTGGGTTCACTGAACAAGGTAAAAAAAAAGTCTCACCTAATGACATTTATTTGTTTTCTAAATATTCTATTACACTTTTTGTTATTAATAGTGTATATTCTGACATAATATGTAGAATACTACTCTATATTAACTGTACATTCATTGAAACTTTTACTTTGTTTTGTTTTATGATGCTTAAAGATGTTCTGTCTATTGTAAGCACAAAAAAAGTAAAAAATCCTCTTTTTTGAATTGCTTAATTTGCAGGCCTATTTTTTAAGTGAGTTATAAATATTAAATTATAATTAATAATTTGAATGAGAAAAAATATCTACAGACACTTAAATTAGTTGATGGTAATCAATTTAAGGATTTTTTTGTAGTAAAATGCTTGTAAATTTAAGGAGATTTTTTTTTCAAACTGTTTCTGTTTGGTAAATAATTTATTTGATCCTTTTAAATGTGCTATTCAAAGTTTTAGTTGAATTTTTTAGGTTTTATCCAATTTTTTTCAGACAGTGTATCTTTCAGGTGATAACATGTGTATTGAGTTGTAAAAAAAATACTGTAATTTCTAAAATATAATTAAATGTTTAAATTTATTCTTACTACATCAGCTACTTTCAGTTAAAATTTAGAGTAAATGTTTCCTTTGCAAATTGATAGATAGACACATATACTGTAGTAGCATTCCTATGACCCATTGGGTGGTATACCAATTACTGTCATTCAAACTACTGTTTTATTCATGATGATTTATTATTTATAAATGCAATATTATCTTATCAGGCATGAAGTTGGGTTAAGCCAATTATTCTCAACATAGTGCGTGTTCAGACGTAAACTCAAATACATGTGTATGGTAATCTAGTAATAGCCTTGGGGCTAATTCCGTCAGTCGTTCGGACGTGTAACATTTGAACAAGTAAAACCTGTAACTTGGGGCCTGTTCGGATGAGTAAATTTTTACCCAGTACTTCCAACTGAGAGGCCATGTGTGGCAATTAAATTTTGCCTCTAGCCATTAAAAATTCGAAAATCATCTGTCTCAGAAACCCATATTTTTTTAGTGGATATTTCAATTACACACTGCCTCCAGGCGTAATTTATCTCATGTAACAAGGCCCATGTCAAAGTTGACCTTTAGATTTGTATACAACACTGGGCCAGAGTAAAATTCCTATCGTTTAATCTCGTTTCTATTTTCTCATAATACTTTAACTCCTTATGAAAATAACTTAAATAATATTTTAAAAGCATTAAAAATATTTTAATAGTAAGAACTTTAGCAAAACACAAGAAAATGACGTTTAAACTTACAACAAAAAAAAGTTCTTTACATTTTTACATACTTCACTGTATTCGTTCAAATGTTGTATTTCTAATTTGTAGTTTATTATTAGTTAAGTGAGTATTACTGCTTTAAAAACAAACTTAAAAATTATAATTAGATGTAATTTGTATTTCAATAACAGAAAAATAATTTTGTACCAACTTTTAAATTAGTTTTGTTACAACAACTTTACGAGTTGTTTTACAGTCAACAACAACATGGCGTCGTCTAGTGGCGGACATGTGCCGAATGTAATAAAGTTTTGTTATCACGGTGAAGAAATCACTGGAAGCTCCAAATGAAGTTACAAAGGCTAGATTATGTATAGTTTTAAACAGTAACAACAAAAATATTGCTAAAAAACTTGTCAGACCTTGGTTGAAGGAAAGACATACGAGAAGTTACTGGTTTTACCAGTTCTTATTCTACTCGTCCAAATGGCCGTCGGAATTAGCCCCAAGGCTATTATTAGATTACACATGTATTTGAGTATACGTCCGAACACGGACTTGGGTAATGTCTTTCTTTCTTCCAAGGTCGGACACAAATTTTTGAGCAATACTTTCGTTGTTACTGTCTAAACCATCCATACTCTAGCCTCATTAACTTAATTTGGAGCTTCATCAAGTCCTTCATGGTGAAAACAAAACTTAATTTCACCATCGGAACATGCTAGACGATGCCATATTGTTGACTATACAACAGCATCGAAATGCACGCCATCGTGTTGGGATTCAATATAGCAACATTAATTATGTCATCATCAGGAAATGATGACATAATGTTGAAATATTGAATCCCGACACGATGGTGTGCATTTCAATATTTGGAGTGTGTATTGTACCAGCGTTTTGCAAACTGTTTACTTCACAGCTATTTGCGATTCCAGGCACCAGGAACCAACATACGTAAGCCTGGCAAGAAATTTAGATCATGAAGCCTCCATGTATATACAATAGTTTGACATCAATATCTGTTCTCTGAGTGCAAAAATATCATTGTATTTTTAAAGTATTTTATTAAAGAAATAATACCGTACACTTGTGTTTTTCTCTCGACAATTGTTGATGGTTCAGCCACACACATCAAAATTTTCTCCTTCCAAAAACTTTCATGCACACTCAGTCACTCCGCAACTTTGGAAGACGATTTGGCGGTTCATCCACTACTGTCGCTTCTTTCGTCACACGTTTCATATATGCATTTCTTCTCAACTAACGACAATTA